CCCCCCCCCCCCCTGCCTTACATTATGAACTGGTGCAGACCCAAATATGAGCTGGACAATTGGAAATAGAAGGCACAAAAAAAAGCACAAAAAGTCAATCCATGCATCATAAATTATGTTTTCGACCATGCATAACTGGAGATGTGTATTGTATTTGTCATTTGTCCGTTCTAATAACGCTTAACTGGCATTCTTATTTATGTACTCTGGTCTATAGTCAAAGGTGTTCGGTTTAACAAGGTTCGACCATGCATAGTTGGAGATGCGTATTGTCATTTGTCCGTTCTAATAACGCTTAACTGGCATTCTTATTTATGTACTCTGGTCTATAGTCAAAGGTGTTCGGTTCCACAAAGTTCGACCATGCATAATATTATGTAGTCTAGGTAGTATATTATCTATGATAATCTATGATAATCTATATTAATCCCTTTTAGACCATCAAACAATTGGCGGTCGTGTTTGTTCTTTTATTTAAACCAAGAGAGCAAACAAAGTTCGCATTAATTTACTCTTAATCACCATGGGCAATACTGTTTACTGCAGTCTCAAGCCAGTAGTACTTGTCTACAACTGCATGAATATTATCCAGAATTCTTTTCCACCCAAGATATCCTAACTACCAGGAAAATGAATGCTAAATGAACTGAACTTCCCTAGAAAAGACAGTCAAAAATATCAAGGCTTTCAAAGGAGCTTTCAAAGCGTTTCCAGATTTTTCTGCAGCGTGTTACGGTTAGAGTACTTCCAAACTGGAAAAAGATGGCTCAAAAGATGACCCAAATCTTTTTACTCAGCTCAGTTGTGGTCGAGACGTGAACTTTTTAGTGCGTTCAAAAGCATCTAGAAGACGGTCACTCTCCAAGACAGCTACAACAAACCCTGGTTCGTGTATAAAGAAGCTAGAAATTCTGAAAGAAGTCGAATTACTGCAAAATATTCAGGTTCAGAGATCTCTGAGGACCTTGATGGATGGGTTGAGAGAGAAGAAGATTGGTGAGCCCGAAAGTGCGAGGAGTTATTTGGAGGCGAAACGAAGGGCTAAGTGTCATGATAATGTGGTCAGAATTCGAAAAGAGCTCAAAGATTCATCAGAGGGAAGTATGGATAGTTCTTGTAAGCCATTTCCTCGACGTTTTACAGATTCTGAGCTTAATAAAAAAGCAAAACACCGGGCAAAAGAAGCATCAGGGAATTCAACTGCTAAGATTGCTGCCTTGTCTGAAAATGCAAAAGTCAAAAATGTCTTTGACGATTGCACCATTCCATCTACCTATAGACCTGACAGAAAATCTCTTTCAACCCAAAAAGATGAATCGTCCACAACCCTCGAAACTAAAACTCGAACAACTTCTTTGCCATCCTTGACTTCGTCTCCAAGAGAAACTAAACTTCGCGAAGAAAGTTTCAACATAACTTTACCTCAAATAGTAAAAAACTTCCATTCTACAAAGCAACCGTCATCCAAATCGCATTTCCAGTACTGCCTACCAGTCCTTGACTCCAACAGCAAGTTTTCTATTATCAGAATGGCGCGAACATTAAGACAAAATCGCCATAAAACCCAAGTAGAAGCTAACGAAAAACCTGACGCGAAGCGTCATTTTTCTTTGGAAGAAAAGACTATTGATTTATTCGGCGATAACTTTGATCTTCTTTCTTCACAATACTTAACTAAAGAGAAGAAGAATGATGAAGGAATGGAACTTCTTGACAGCGAATCTTTCAATGATATCGATTGTGATGACTTTTTGCATCTCAAGAACAGGATCGTTAATATTTCTCCGTCCCCGATGGTTTTGACCAATAGAAAAAAAGGACAATAATTAACAAAATTTATACTTTCAAACAGCCGTATACTTCATGCCGGAAAAAATGTTATGTGGAATGAAGGGACGAACAGGTTGGCTAATGTATTGTCAGTAAAGTATATGAAGAGACTAGCTTATTATCTAATAAAATAAAATGCGCAACTGCATGGTACAGAAATAGTATTGATAGGTAGTTTAAAGATGTTTTGGTGAAAGAAAGTAAAATCTTTTTTTGAAATAAAAATTACATTTAGCATAATAATTAATAAGCAATTACTCGTGGAAAAAATTGCGCAACTTTTCGATCATTTGACTTTCCTCAAATTTCCAGAGATATTCCATGTAAAGGATACAAAAGAGTAAGACTTTTTAAGAGAAGTTTCTATTGCTACTTTTTTTGGAAACGTGTATTAACGCTGTTACGCAATCCTGTTTTTTCCCAGCTTGATAAGCTGCTTGACTGTCAGAAACTGATGAGCGAGGAGAAAGGATCTCACAGGGCGTCTGACGAACTGTTGTTTATCGTTACTCACCAAGGTAAATAAAGTCACGAGAACAACTCCTTCCCTCCCTTTACTTGGCTATCCCATCCTCCAGACCCCTCCCCTGCTGCAACTCACACAACCTCAACTGTCACTCACCAAGGTAAATAAAGTCACGAGACCAACTCCTTCCCTCCCATTACTTGGCTCTCCCATCCTCCAGGCCCCTCCCCTGCTGCAACCCACACAACCTCAACTGTCACCCACCAAGGTAAATATAGTCACGAGCTCCACTCCTTCCTCCCCTCTTCCTTGGCTCCTCCTATTTGCACCTGCCTCCCTCCCCCTGAAGTTGTCATCCAATTTCTAATGTACGCAGATTAACAACTTAACTGACCAAAATTGTGAAATGATTGCATAACAGTGATTTTTTTCCGCTTTTATTTTCGCAGCATATGAACTCTGGTTCAAGGAAATCATCTTTGAGATTGATTCCATTCGGGAACTGTTCCTCACTGAGGTAAAATTTATCATGTATTTCAAGGTGTTACTTAATACAACCCTTTAGCTTGGACGTAATATTTCAGACCACGTGTCATTCATTTGAGTATCATTTGTTTGGATGCAAATCCTTTTCTCAAATGACACGTGGTCTGAAATGAACAAAACATTACGTAACGTGGTGGCATCGTTTAAACTTATGTAGGCGGGGGTGTTGAACGAAGAAAAGACGCTTATGGTCATCTCATTGTTGAAGCGAATCGTGGCAATCTTAAAGGTATGAAAAAACCGACCCAAGGGTGTAATGATAATTTTTCTAAACATGTGAAGTAGGATAGTGATATGCCATGTAGCGTTGCACTCATCATGGTTTATAATTTCGTGCATAATGCTGTATATGGGTGTATCTTGTTTGCGCATGCATTGTAGTGTTACGCATGCGTCGTATAAATGCGCCTCATTTTCATCGTGGTGTTGTCCATACACTGCGAGTTTTTACTTTCCATCTATCTTACGCAATGTATACCCGGCCTTACTCTGACAAGAAGGTACACGTCTTCTGTTTTTGTTTCCATAGCTTTTAGGAGAGCAGTTCCAGTGTCTRGAAACAATGACGCCCTTTGGTTTCATGGAGTTCAGGTGAGGCTCTGCTCGAAAAACACATTATTTATGCTTGTTCATGGACGTACACGTTCCACTTTATTTCTGCAAGTTTTACAAAACAAACCTTGAAATCAAATTTCTCAGTAAATGTAATCCTCTTTTACTCCGACGAAGGACTAGCATCCGAAACGTCAGTAAGTTTTTTCATCTTTTCAAGGTGTATAATTTACCYTTTTATCATTACTGTTAAACTGAATCTTCATGAGCTGGTTTGACTGTAAGATATCCTATTTTATACATATATATATATATACATACATATATATGTATGTATATGACAACGTTCTTGCAATTAGGCGTTGTTGTAAAATTGTTAAAAATAGAATTTGTTTATTCGTTCATATCTTCATTCATTCATTCTTTCTCTCCATCAGGGATTATATCTCTCCCGCTTCAGGATTCCAAAGCGCTCAATTCAGAGTTATTGAGAACAAGTTAGGCGTATTAAGGGTAAGTTAATTTCAGTAAAATAGCATTCAAAACCTTCGGTGATTGCTAACTCATTTTGTTCTTGTTAAAGGCGAGCATGAGAAAAGACAGCCAGGAATGCTGGTAACGTAGTATTCATATAGATTTGGCACTATCACGTGCAGGCGCCCATAATAAAGCTAGGACTACCTGTGTTTGGGTGGCAGAACAATAAAATCCCTTTGCTCTTGGAAATTGAATTCTTTCTCTTGTAAAACAATTGTATTGTTTCGCATGGCATCTAACATGCCTGCTGTCACGTGATGGTGCAAAGCCTTTATTTTCCTTTTGTTGTGTGTGTGTGTTTCGCGGGTCATTCCTTGTATGGGCTTCTAGAGGGACTCAAGATATTGTGCTAAATAATACAAGCAATTGCAAAATTAGAACAAATATTTTTTTTCTGCGCCTTATTTTCCTGTTGTTCTGTGTATAAGCTGGCGTCCCTGTATTGCATCCATACAGGCCTCAAGCATTATGACTATTTTTACCTACACTTTCTTTTCGGTAGCTTTTTTTGTTATGATAATTTCCTCTGTTGTCTTGTTATTCTCAAAGGAGATTTAATATTTGAATATGAAAAGAGATTTTGAAAGAGATTGTGGTAGTTTAAGTGTGAAACGTCATTAGGGTCACTTCGTAGTTTCACTGACGTAGTTTTTATTTGTATCGATCAGTAAAGCTTTAAGAACAGGAAAAGACCAAACAGACTACGTCAAGTCTGAAGAGTCGCCATCTTTGCTGGAAGTTGTTGAGGTAAGGTACCATTCCCCTAACAGTTTTCCAGGACCCTCCTTTTATAGAAGTTGGTAGTGTGGGGTAGTTATCCCCATCACACCTTATCATGTTGGCAATTTGCTTTTATTGGCTTTCCAACAAGTCATGAATCATATGGGGAAATGATGACGTGGATACCTCTTTGGTTGCTATAGAAATGGTTGTCTCGCACGCCAGGACTGGAGGAAGATGGCTTTAATTTCTGGGGAAAGTTTAAAGCAAGCGTTTACAGGTGGCTGGACAGTCTGAAGATGCAAGCTTTGGTAGGTCTAAGACCATTGGTAATAAATGCCTTGGCCTGTTTATTAAAATAACCGTCAGTATAACGTGAGCATTTTTTGTTGCATCATCATCATGTATCATC